AACACATGAGTGGATTAATAAAATGTGGTATATGTATACCATGGAGTACTGCTCAGCCATAAAAAAAAAAAAAAAAAGAAAGAAAAAAAAATGGTGAACTACCTCTTGTATTATCCTGGATGGAGCTGGAGCCCATTCTTCTAAGTGAAGTATCACAAGAATGGAAAAACCAGCACCACATGTATTCACCATTAAATTGGTACTAATTGATCAGCACTTATATGCACATATGGAAATAAGATTCATAGGGTGTCGGGCAGGTAGGAGGTAGGAGGGGATGTGTAAATTCACACCTAATGGTTAGGGAGTTGTCTGGGGGATGGGCACATTTGTAGTTCTGATTCAGGTGGTGCAAAGGCAATTTATGTAGCTAAAGTATTTGTACCCCCGTAATACTCTGAAATGGAAAAAAAAAAGAGACATCAGAAAATATTTGCCCATAATTCATCTGACAGGGGACTGATATCCAGAGACATACTCAACAGACATGCATGTACATAAGTCTCTTAGTAGCATTATTATAATAGCAAAAACAAAACTGAAAACAAGCCAAAAGTTCATCAGTAACAGGATGAGTGAGAAAACCATGGTATAGTCATACAATTAAATACTGTACAGCCATGAAAATGATCTGCTACAAATAGTAACAGAGATAAATCTCATAAGACGTTGAGCAAAACAAGACAGACACAGGAGCGCATACCATAGGATTTCATTTATATACAGGTAAATGTTAGAAGTCAGAATAGCGGTTAGATTTGTGGTAGAAGGAGGAGGCAATGAATGGGACAGAACAAGTAGTAGATACAAGAGTGTGTTCATTTAACAATAAGGCATTGAGAGGTACATTTATAATTTTGTGCACTTTTCTGTATACATGTTGCACTTAAAAAAAATGATTGGTTTATAAAGACAACGGCTTTGCTATCCTTAGACTGATTTTTAGAGAGTCTAAAAATGGCACCATAGCCTGGGCTTTTCTGAGTCTGATCTCTCTCTCTGTGCCCAGCTATTTCGCCATTCACCCTTTGTTTGAGGGGAAGTGCAAGGAGGAAGAGATGAGTAAAAACAACTCCAGCCTTCCTAGAGCTTGCCTGGATCCCAGCCAAAGCAGTTGCAATTAGAGACCCCTCCCTGAGAAGTGAAAGTTTCTACATATCCACGCAAACAGTGGCAACCCTCAGAGCTAATCTGTGACATGGCCCTGCCCTTTTCCTCTCCGGCATGTCTCACCCCAGGCTCCAAAGCCTCTGGAGATTCACAGACTCCAATCTGGCCTTTGCAATCGCAAAGGAATAGACAATCAAAACCTGAATTTAGGCTCCAAAATGAATTTTAGGGCCCAGGCCTATTCCTGTGAGCTGGGCTTTTTTCATTTTTGTTTTTTGGGAAACAGGGTCTCACTCTATCACCCAGGCTTAAGTGCAGTGGTACAATCACACCTCACTGCAATCTTGAAGTCCCAGGCTCAAGCAATCCTCCCACCTCAGCCTCCTGAGTAGCTGGAACTACAGGTATGTGCCACCACACCCGGCTAATTTTTTTTATCCTTTGTAAAGATGGGGTATGGCCATGTTGCCCAGGCTGGTCTCAACCTCCTGGGTTCAAGCCATCCTCCTACCTTGGCCTTCAGAAGGGCTGGAATTACAGGTGTGAGCCACTACACCTGACCCATGTGGACAGTGATTTGAAGGTCCCCGCTCCCCAATACACCCGACCCAAAATCGTCCCAGACTGCCCCTATGATGCCTGAATGAAATTTACTTATTCACTCAACAAATATGCTTGGACATCTCCTGTGTTAGGCACTGTGCCGTGCACTCATCACAACGATAAATATATACTGATTCAGAAGCCCTAGGCTCTGTGAACAAAGGGACCCTGGATTATGCACCACTGAATCCTTAACACCTGGCCCAATGCCTGGCACAGAGCTGCTCAAGTCATATCCCGGGAAGGAATGAGAATAGAGGGAGGGATGTTGTTGTGAAAATAAATATTTCCTGAGGGTCTTCTGGTGCCAGGTACTGCTCTGGATGCTGAGGATACAACGATGACAAAACAGACAAAAGCCTCAAGGAACTTACTCTCTCCTAGGCTGAAGAGGAGACTGGGAGACAGAAAATAAAAATAAGTAAACGGGATAGAACGTAAAATGGAGATAAGGACAACAGAGAAAAATTAAGCGGAGAGAGGGATAAGGGGTTGCAGGATAAGGGAGACATTTTTCAGAGGGGGAGGCATCACTAGGAAGGTGGTATTTGAGCAAAACCCTGAGGGAAGAGAGCAAGCCGCATGGCCAGTGAGGGAGCAGCATTCCAGGAAGAGAACGCTGGGGGATGCAAAGCCCTAACAGGAAGCGTGGTTGCGCTCGAGGACCACCAGCACCAGTGTGGCTGAAGTGCTGTGAGCCAGAGGAGAGATGAAGGGGAGGGGGTCCCAGAGGCCAGGTCACTTAGGCTATCATAAAGTGCACGACTTTTACTTTGCCTAAGAAGAGAAGGCTTTGGAAGATTTTTGCAAAACTCAAGAGCAATATGTGCATCTTACATAAATATTAATAGTATGCATGGCTCAGCACCGTGGCTCACGCCTGTAATTCAAACACTTTGGGAGGCAGAGGTAGGAGGATCACCTCACGCCTGGTGTTTGAGACCAGCCTGGGCAACATAGCAGTACCCCATCTCTACGAACAATTTAAAAATTAGAATGGTGTGGCGGCCCCTGCCTGTAGTCCCAGCTATTCAGAAGGCTGACACTGGAGGGTCATTTGAGCCCAGGAGTTCAAGGTTGCAGTGAGCTGTGATCATGCCACTGCACTCCATCTTGGATGGCAGAGCAAGACCCTTTCTCAAAACAAACAAAACAAAACAAAACAAAAGAGCAGTGTGCATATTAAACTTTTCAGTAAACAAAGTTCTAAAAAAAAATTCACTCTCATCATACGTCCCCTGATGGGAGTCAGTGAGAAAGGCAGAGCATCACTTTTGTGGTATTCTTGCCCCAAATGCACGTGATAACCTGACTCATATAAGGAAACAACAGACAAGCCAGATTAAGGAACCCTCCACAAAGCCACTGGCTTATACTCTTCAAAAACACAATGTCATGAAAGATGGAGAAAGGTTAAAAAGTATGGTTGCAGATTGAAGATGATTGAAGAAAAATAACTGAATTTCATACATGATCCTGATTGGATCCTGGATCATGAAAAAATATGCCATATAGCACATTATTGGGACAATTGGTCATATTTGAATATGTATTGCATATTTGATTGTATTAGTGTTAAATTTACTAAATTTCATGACTGTGCTATAACGATATGAGAATGTCCTTGCTTATAGGAGATAAGTGCTAAAATATTTAGCAGTAAAGGGGCATGATGTCTGTAACTTATTCTTAAATGGTCCAGCAAAAATAATTATGATTGTAAATTTAGATATATACACATATATACGGAAAGAAAAAAATAAAGCAAATGTGATAAAATGTTAATTGGTAAATGTAGGTGAAGGAAACACAAGAATTCTTTGCACTATTCTTGCAACTTCTCTGGAACTGCAATGATTTCAAACTAAGAAGTTTAAAAAGTGAAAGGAAGAAACAGAGAAGCTTCGATCAGCCTGGCCCAATGCAGCCCCACAGACACAGGACATAGCAAGAGGGGGGAGAAGCCCAGGAAGACCAAGTCCATCCCTCCCTGTGCCCAAGGAGTCACTCAACAGCTTCCCCCTGCAATGGACCGAAGGGCCAGCCAGACATGGAGCGAAAGCCCTGGGTATGGGGGTGGAGGGAGCAGAGTCCTCTGTGACACATCGTCACAACCTCAGGGTCGGGCTCTGCTTCTGTGACTCTCATCCCCCAAGACAGCCATCAAATCCCATCAGTCCTCCTTCAGGTTTCTGAGCCGCTTTCCAGGCTAATTGGATCAGATTCCACCCTAGCTCTCTCGCCTAAAATCCTGTGCCACTGGGTCCCGCCAGGCCACCCCCTCGAGCCCCTGGCTCCAGACCACCCCCCCTGCTTCCTTCTCTTCATGCTCTGCCCTAGGCTGCCTGTCTCCTTGCAGAGGTTGAGTCCACCTGAGCCTTGACTGGCTCTTCCTGGCAGACACAAGAATGTTTCAACTAAGTACCTGGATATGGGACTTTATACCATATAGGACTTCTACTCGGCCTTGCACCAACAGTACCCTGTGCCTCAGTTTCCTCCCTTGGTGCCCAGAGTGTGCCCTCCTCTCACTCCAGCCCCACCAACAAAGCCCCTTGCAGAGTTGCTGATCTAAAAATGCATGCTCCATGTCTCAGAGCATCTTGCACCCCAGGGTTGGAGGAAGAGGGGAGCAGTCTTCAGCTGGGGTTTCCCAGAGTAAGCCTTAGATGGCCCGGTGCCCAGCTGACAGCTTTAGGTTTGCTGTGAAGCCTCCTCTTAGTGTCTCCTTCTCCTGCCAGAAGCCAAGATTTCCCTAACGGTTCCCAGGCCCTGTGGCCTCTGGGCGGCACAGGGCCTCTGGGCGGCTGGGGGAGCCGAGGAGATGGAGGACCGGGCTCTGTCTGGCCGCTGGCATCGCCCCACCTCCCAGCTTTCCTGCTCAGGGATCCATCTGCCCATCTCTGAGCTCCAGAACCACCCAGCTGCCTTGGGGCTGCTTCTCCTCTCACTCCCCAGTCAGAAGATGGGCTCCCTTTGCCCTTAAAGGCAGCTGGAAGGAAGCTTTTCTCCCCAATACACAGAAAGGAAAATTGAAGCCAGTAGGAAAGAGTCTCCTCGCCCAAGCCTGCCTGGATTGCTGCTGGCAGGGCCAGATGCGCCTCTCAAGGACCTGCCGCCCCCCTGCCAGCCTGTGCTGTCTGACTTAGAGTGTCAGAGCTCTCAGGAGCCCCTTGGAGTCCTGGGTCTAGGCGACCATGTAAGTGGCACTGCCGGAGGCTCCCGGCTCTGACCTTCCTGAGGGGCACAGCCCTTAGTCCACATCAGCCCCCGCTGGGCCTCCTTACCTTGGCCCTGAGGCACCTGGAGGAACAGGAGGAGTGTGAGGGTGACAGCTTGCCCCAACATCCCCAGAGAACAGGGAGGTCAGGCCAGCCCCTCCGCCCCACCGGACGCTCTGCCCAGCACAGGCTCAGCAGCCGTTAGGCAACAGGAGGACGGCCGGGAGCAGAGTGGCCTCACCGCCAGTCTGGCCACAGCTTCCTCAGTTCAAGGCTGTTAATGTTGCTGTGAGCTGACAAGGCTGCTGAGAAAGCCCAGCCCCTGGACCTGGTCTGACAGTTGCCACATGACAAACTTGTGAAGTTTGCAAGTGGGTGGGTGCTCAGTGTTCTCAGGGACTCACAAAACCGGCTTCAAAATTGTATCCCTTTCTCTGCCCCAGCCTGGCTGCTTCATTCAAAGGGCAGATGCCCCAGAAATTTTCCAATTCTCTTCATCCTACTGGCAACACACAGAGCCCTACATGAGGACGAAACAGCCGTCATCCCAGACCAGCCCATCACACAGAATTGTTGAGGGGATGGGGGAAGTGCGGAGGGCCTGGGATGGGGGGCTGAGACTCAGAATCCCGGATAAGAGGGTGATAATGTTGAAGGACAGGATGAGTAGCTGGGGTGACACAGGAAGAAACCCAGAGGTTGGAGACACTAGAACAATCTAACAGGCCCAGAGATTCTCTGGAAGTGGATACTAAAATTTAAACATAAGCCAATCAAATTTTTTTCATTAGAATTTGGTTTTGCTCCAAGTGTCCTATCTGTACTTCTAAGGCAGCTTTGGGTGGCCTCAGGCCTCTATGGAAGGGTGGGGGCAGCCACATCCAACTTCCCCGGGACACTGGCAGATGAGAATCTAAAATGCAAGATCCAAGTCTCAGAATGTCCTGGACTCCAGGGTTGGTGAAAGAAGGGAGCAGCTTTCAGCTGGGAATTCCCGAGTAAGCTTAGATGGCCGTTCCCCAGGGTTCATGCCCCTTTCTTCTGCTTTCGCCTTAGCAGCAAACATTTGTGGTTCCTTCAGGTCCACCCTTCTTCCCTTTTCCCATCCTTTCATCCATTTCCAGTCACCTAGTAGGAACTGAGCGGCAGGATGTAGACTGAGAGAGAGGTAGCAGTGGGCTTCTGGGCAGAGCACTGGATTTGGAGTCAAAGACTTGAACTTGAGTTCCCACTCAGCACCTGGTGATCTATGTGATCCTGGCCAAGTTACTTCCTGAGTCTGCAGAGTCAACAATATTTGCCCCTCTTCCCCACAAGGTAGTTTTTGAGATCAAATTTAAAAAGCATACCTGAGAGTATGCACGTAAAAAACACTAGACCTACGTGAGGCTTTTGTGTTTTTGTTTTTTTTAAGGCCTGCATAGCTTTTTCCAGCTGTTCTAATGGTATCATCTCTTATCTCCTTTGTCTTTTCCCACGGTGCAGCCTTCAACCCCTGGGAGTTTCCTTGGAGTTCATCTGGCCATGCCTTTTGACCTTGAGAAGTGGTGTTCAAGATGTGATAAAACAAGGAAGTGTAAACTTCCCTTACAAGCTCTAACCGTGAGAAGCAACTCATGAGCCACATGAATTAGGAATCAGCTTCACCAATCCTGAGTTCAACACTAGCTCCATCCTTCCTGCCAGGCATGTGTGTGGCCCACCAGCCTCTGGAAACTGAGCTGGGAGTAGCCACACCACTTTGTACGTGTCTGTCTTGTGGTCCTTAACAAACTCCACCACATAATAGCTGCTATTTGCTCTACATACTGCCCTCCCCCACCCTGAGCTTTTCAACATAAAGTCTGTGTTCTCCTTAGCTTAGTGTTTCCAGAGCCTGGCCAGGTGCCTGGTTCTTCATAGATGGATGATTAATAGATCGTCAAGTGCTGAAGGAATGAGTTATTTCCCCAGAGAAGATATTTCTATTCCCCTTAAGATGATGCAGTGGTAAGCTAAGCCACCATGGTCCTGGCCCTCATGGAGTTTATACCTTGCCTTGCCAATTCTTTGTGCAGAGAGCCCTCCTGTGCAATTCAGCTACTTTATCATGAAGACCCAAGACCCTACAAAGTCCACATAAACTCAAAGACACCTGTAGCCCCATTTCTCATACATATTGCCCAAGTCTCTAAAAGTCTGGGACAGGAGACTCAGATGAGACATTTAAATGTCAGCAGCCATCCAGGAATCCAAAGTTTATCAATTCCTGCCCTCTCATCCTTCCTTTTCCCAAACCATGCTTTCACCATGCTTCAGTGAGTCAAGTTCATTCTAATAAATCCCACTTCTGATGCCAACTGAATGAATGAATCCCACTTCTGATGCCAAATTCGTAAGTCCCCAAGACCCCCTTCAAATTTGATAATTCACTAGAAAGACTCACAGCACTCACTGAAACCTGTTTTACACATGGTGCAAAGTTTACTACAGCAAAACAATACAGAAGAAAACCACACAAGGGAAGGGGTACCTAAGTCAGGGTCCAGGAGCATCCCAAACACAGGGCAGGCACAGAGCTTCCAGTTCTCTTCTTCCAGTGGAGTTGTGCAGACAGAGCTTGCTTCTCCCAGGAATTGTGCGTGACAATACAGACAAAGCACTGCCAACTAGGAAAGCCTTTCCAAGTTTTGGTGTCCAGTATTCTTACTGGGGCTTCATCACATAGGCATGGCTGACCTCAGTCTCTGGTCCTTCCAGAGTTGAGCTGGTGCTCTGTGGCCAAAATTTCCCACCATAAATCACATTGTTGGCACAGACTATCCAGCATGGCCCAAGGTCCCCTGTAGATGAAGACACTGGGGACACCCCAAGCAGGACATTCCAAGCCTTAGAGATTACCTCCCAAGAGCCAAGGACAAAGGCCAGGCTTCTCTTTAGGCAAGATTAATCCTTACTGCATAGCCAGAAAGAAGATGTAAAAGTATTCAAAGATAAACCCTTCAAATAGGGCCCAACGGATATGACCAACCAATCTTTACAGATATGGCCAACCACTCTTTCAAGAACTCAACAAATAATTTCTGTGATACTAGACACGAAATGAGAGCTCATTGCCTTTATTTCTAACCACCTGAATACTGTCTGTGCTCCTGTTTTAATGAAACCATAACTAAACTCTTTTTATTTATTTATTTATTTTTTCCCAAATTCTATGGCTACAAATATTGTTAGGGTTACATATCTTGCCCCTGCCCCCCTCCCCACCCTGCTCTGCCAGAGCTTCAAGCGTGTCCAGTCTTCAAGTGGTGCGCCCTGCACCCACCATGAAAGTGCATACCCTTCCCCTTCTCCCCCCTTCCACCTGTTCACCTCCCATTAACAAATTTTTTTTTTGTCTAAAAAAAAATTTGGTTACAGTGGGTTTCTTTGCCTCTCCCTAAAAAGGGATAGAGGTAATCCTTTCCCCCCTACAATGCTCATTACATCCTTAAGATGTGGGCACAACCATTCTTTTTCTATCTCTGTTTCTCATAAGGACTGGAAAATTGCTTTTCCATTCTATATATACTTATCTCTCTTGGGCTTTGACTTGTGGGAAGGGAATTAGCCAGTTATCTTTTACATATTGGATGTGGTAACTTACAGGTTCAAGTTAAAGGTGAGAAATGCAATATTCCCATGAAGAAGATGGAAGGTGGACCCTCTTAAAACAATACCTGGCATATCAAATAACCTAGTAAACCTGCATCTAAGTCAAGGACCCAGGAGCAGCAGCCAAAGAGTGCAATCCACATCATCATAGCTCATCTCAGAATTTCAACATGAGAAGAAACTTATCTTTTCCAGCTTCGAGGTGAATAAACAACCCTGACGATGCAGAGAATTGGAGACTATCTCCCTGACGCTAGCAATATGATGCAGGGAATGGGACCAATCTCTGCTTTTTTATGTAGGAACAAGATGTTTCTACAGGGGATGGGTGAAAACTTACCTAATGGATACAATGAACACTACCTGGGTGACGGGCACACTTATAACCCTGATTCAAGCAAAGGAACATTGATACATGTAATCAAAAACATTTGTACCCACAAAATATGTTGACATTTACAAAATTCTGAAAACTAAAAGAAAAAAAGATGTTTCTACACAAAAAATGAATGAAAATGCTTTCCCAAACTGTAAGGGAAATTCAAGAATGAATTGCTTTATGCAATTTAAAGATAATTAAATATAAATTTTTGGCTGGGCACGGTGGCTCACACCTGTAATCCTAGCATTCTGGGAGGCCAAAGCGGATTGCTTGAGGTCAGGAGTTCGAAACCAGCCTGAGCTGGAAATTAATTGGCCAACTCATATATATAGAAAAAATTAGCCTGGCATGGTGGCGCATGCCTGTAGTCCCAGCTACTCGGGAGGCTGAGGCAGCAGGATTGCTTGAGCCCAGGAGTTTGAGGTTGCTGTGAGCTAGGATGACATCACAGCACTCACTCTAGCCTGGGCAACAAAGCAAGACTCTGTATAAAATATATATATATATTTTTTTGTACAGTTCTATTTTTTTATTATATTCTATAAATCAGAAACTGACCTAGTATCAATTTTTTAATATTTTATTTTAGTATCAGATTTTTATATTTGACATTTTTGAGTATCAGATTGTTTTGCAAAAATAAAACCAAAGAAGGAAAACCTATAATGCCCTCTAACTGCCCTGCCACCTAGTTTGTGAATTTTACCTAGTTTGTGAATTATAAATATAGAAGATCAAAGTTGATGTTCTAATGATATGGTAATTTGCACAAGCCAATGTTCCCTATAATATTTCAAGTTGTACTACATGGATACTTCTAATGAGAGAGCCACACTGACCAGAAGGGACCACCAGCCTCAGGGTGATGGGGGGTCTACTGGCAGCTGTGCTATTGGTCATAGAGCTGCTGATGTCCTCTTCTAATTTGTCAATGATCATAGCAAAGCCTTTGAGGATGGCACTACTGGGTCCAGCCAACGTGGTAATTCTCTCAGGACAATTCCCTTCTGAGATGTTGATATGTGTACCACTCACCTTACACATCTTCTTAACTGATTCTTCTTTCTTTCCAATGATACTGCCAACTTCCTTTCCATACGTAAGTTGCTAGATGGTGAGAGTGACATTAATCCACCTTAAATCACACCAGTGTCCATGTTGAGCACTTTTCTGGGGAGCTGGATTTTGAGTGGTCAAGTCTCTGGTCACTGGTGGGGATGAAAGCAAAAAACTGAAGGCATGAGGCAGCTGAGGGGAAAAGGGGAGCCAGCAGGAACGGGAATGGCAGGAGTCCTGGAACCGCACAATAGGGCAGGCCGGAAGGCGAGGGGCAGGGCAACCACAGCAGCAGAGCAAGAGGGGGAACAGGAGGCAGAGGAGGAGGAGGAGGAGGAAGGGGGAAGGGGACCCCAGGACAGGTGGAGGACTGTGGAGGGCAGGCAGGAGAGGACACTGGCTGCTGCTGCTCCAGCTGCTGACTCTGCTGGTCTCAGATGCCTTTTATTTCTTTCTCTCACCTAATTGCTCTGGCTAGAACTTCCAATACTACGTTGAACAGAAGTAGCAAAACTCAGCATTCTTGTCTTGTTCCTGATTATAGAGGAAATTCTTCCAGTCTTTCATACATTAAGTATAATGTTCACTGTGTGTTTTTCATATATGGCTTTTATTTTATTGCATTAAGGTTTTTACTTCTATTCTTACTTTGCTGACTGTATCATGAAAAGGTGTTGAGTTGGGTCAAATGCTTTTCTACATCAATTGAGATGACCGTGATTATTTATCCTTCATTCTGATGATATGATGTGTTACACTGATCCACTGCAAGGATGTTGAACCATCCTTGCATTCCAGGAATAAATCACGTTTGGTCATGGTGTAAATTCCTTTTAATATGCATCTGATTTACTGGTATTTTGTTGAGGATTTGTGCATCAGTGTTCATAAGGAATATTGGTCTGTAGTTTTCTTTTTTTGTAGTGTCATTGTCTAGCTTCCTTATCAGGGCAAAGCTAGCCTCATAGAATGAGTTAGAGAGTTTTTCCTCCTCTTCAGTTTTTTGAAAAAGTTTGAGAAGGACCAGTCTTGGTTCTTTCTTAAATGTTTGGTAGAAGCTATTTTCTTTATGGGTCCCAGGGGGATTACATTTTACATCCTAAAGTTATAACATTCCAAATTGAATTTATACCAATTGAACTTCAATAAGATACAAAGACTGTGATTCTTTATAGCTCTGTCCCACCCCTTTCATGTCACAGAATTACATCTTTATTCAGTGTGTGTCTAAAACAGAAACTAATGATGTTTGTAATGTATTAGGCCTTTAAATTATATAGAAAAGTGTAAGATAACTGGGAACAGAGGTTCATTCTTGTAGTCCCACTACTCAGGAGACTGAGGTGGGAGGATCATTTGAAGCCAGGAATTCCAGGCTGCAGTAATGCAGTGAGCTATGATCACATCTGTGAACAGCCACTGCACTTCAACCTAGACAACATACCAATACGCTGTCTCAAAAAAAAAAGAAAGAAAGAAAGTAAGAGAGACAGAAAAGAAAACTATGAATAATAAGAAATGTATATACATACTGGTCTCTGCCCCCAATTTCTGACATAGAGCTCCTGAAACCCTTGTAAATAAGACTATTTGGAGAATCTTTTGTTCCAGTATTTGCTATTTGACCCTGGTCCCTGATACAGAGTGCCTAAACCCCTTGAAATGTCCTGGGTAATAAGAGTGTCCTTTATTCTGATGAGGTGACTCCTGATGGGCTCCTGGATGAGGATTGGCCCCAGAAAGACAAAGCCATGCTTAGAAGCTTGGAACCTTGAGCCCCACTCCCCATCCTCTAGAGAGAGATGAAGGACTGGAAATGGAGTTAGTAATCAATCCTGCCTACCTGATAAAACCTTCATAAAAATCCCAAAAGTAAGGGGTTCAGAGAACTTCTGGGTTGGTGAACGCATCCGTGTGCTGGGAAGATAGAGCACCCCACCTTCATGGAGACAGAACTCCTGTGCTTGGTACTCTTCCAAACCATGCCCAGTACCTATTCATTCAGCTGTTCATTCATATCCTTTAAAATATACTTTGTAGTAAATTGACAATATTCTATAAATTGATTTCCTGGGTTCTGTGAGCCATTGTAGTAAATGACCAAACTCACAAAGGGGGTTATGGGAACCTCCAATTAGGAGCCAAGTTAAACAGAAGTTGTTGGTAACCTGGAGACCTACTACCTGCAGTTGACATCCAAAGTAGGAGACAATCTTGTGGGGCTGAGCCCTTAACCTGTAGGGTCTGCACTCACTCTGGTTGGTGTCAGAACTGAATTGAATTGTAGGACCCTCAGCTGGTGTCAGAGAATTGGTTAATGTGGGGGAAAAATCCACATATCTGGTCACAGAAGCACTGAGAGTAGTGTCAATATAGAAGAAAAAAGAGTTTGCTTTTTCTATAGGAAAAAAAATGAATTCACAGGGTTTTAATGATTTGTTTACATGTACATCTCTCCTTGCCATCTCTTTGACTTTGCACTCCCTCCCACAGCACTCTGGGTCAGGAAACACACATTAACTTTCCTTACATCTCAGAGTTTACAAGAATATACGGCACAATGATTCTTCAACAACAGTGCCCTAAATTTGTTTTTCATGAGTGAGTGAAATTGAGTTGTAATAGACTTTTGAAAACCCTCAAAAAACAATATAATAATAACTAACATATATCAAGCAGATACTACAAGCCTGGTGCTCTTTTGAAAGCTCTGCAAGTTATTGTGGTGACTGTCCACGGAGGCCGGGCTAGTGGGGAGCTTGGAGTGAGGGCTCTGGATCCCAGCCACAGGATGAGGAACTGGGGGCCATGAGAGGTGAAAAGATAAGTTACTCAAGCCACACAGCTAATTCAGTAGCAGAGCTGACATTAGAACTCAGGTTTCCTGCCTCCCAAGGTTATTAAAATGAGTCTTCGGAGGCAAACCCCTAGTGATTTCCTAAAGCAAATCATTGGATGGCGAGCTGTGGTAAAATTAAATTCTGGAGTGTATTATCGAGGGGACCTGGCTTGCCTGGATGGCTACATCAATACAGTCCTGGAGCAGACAGAGGAATATGTAAATGGGCAACTGAAGAATAAGTATGGGGATGCACTTATTCGAGGAAACAATGTGTTGTACATAAGTACACAGAGGAGAAGGATGCAAAGACATCAAGATAGCGATACTTTTCATAGTTGGATACATTTTTTATGAAATTTTTTTCTATTTTTGTGGTTCTTTCATGATATAATTTGTCCTGTTTCTATAATAATTGGCAATTTCCATTGACTTATGGATAAAATAAATGTATAAAATTGTGGATTTAATTCTGATGGACTGAAAAAATAAAAAACAAATAAGTAGAAGCCATATAAGTTATTTCACTTAATTTTTATGAAAGCCCCATGTGAGATGAAAACCATGCATGACAACATTACTACTATACTGCTATTATCTCTATTTCACGGATAAGGAAAGTGAGACTTTGATATATAAAAAACCTTTCAAGAGTTAGGTGAATGTAGGGAGCCAGGATTTGTACTAACTTCACTTGATTCCAGAGCTTGGACCTTGAACAACTTCACTCTACAGATGTGGGGCACGATGAATATAATGACAGGGGAAAACTTTCCCAGCTCAGAGATCTCTGTGGTCACTGCAGGGTGGAAAGGAGAATGAAGGTAAAGTGGCCTTCTCAGAGAAGTCCTCCCTAACATTCGTTTCTGGACTCGGGGCTGCTCCTCTGTGCTCCCACAGATGCCTAGGAGGCTCTTCTGTGAGACCTTCCCACCATGCACCAAGGGGACCCATGGGCTCTGCCACCTGCAGATTTAGAATTGGGTTCATCTGTCTTCTCTATAACTATATTCCCAGCACCTTACCCAGGAGATAGTACACATTCAGTAATTTTTGTTGCAATAACTGAAAAAAGAATATGTGAAAGAGAAAAAAGTGTTCACTCGCCTGTCCCACCACTGTTCCGTGCACTCCAGGTCAACAGTGTCTGGCAGGTGAGTCACACACAGGTGAGTCACACACAGGGGAACACAGGTGAGAGGTGAAAACTTACTCAGCTTTCTTATTGTCTGCTCTAGTTGGAGGAAGGGCAGCTGAGAGTGCTGAGGGGCAGAGACATCTGCGTTTTAGGATGGAGAATTGGGACAATGGGTAAGAGAGAAGGCAGAAAAGAACAGGCAGCAGAAAGCAAGTAAAATCCTGTAGGGAAAATAGTGACAATTTCTAACCCAGGCCCAAATAAATCTGGTTTAAACAAAGAGAACCCTCCCAAACATTTTTAAGGCAAACTTCTATAGCTTCCTGTTTCTCTTCTTCTTCCCCTTCTCTGCTTCCTCTTCTTCTAATTTCCCTAAGGCCTAAGAATTTTGAACTTCACCTTCTAGCCAGGGAGAAGAAATTGACATTCAGATGGGGAAAACTGGAAGGGCTTCTTATAACCAGATTTGCATTCTAGAGGAAACACTTAAATGTCTAATATTTAGTCATGGGTCAAAACTGATATCATCCCAATCCAATCTGCACCAATAACACATTGGGGATGATTTGGTCACTTGGCTCCTTTTGAATAACACCTAAACATGAGAACCCTGGAATAGTGAAGGCACCACCCAAGAGGAGACACTATCATCCATCACAGGCTGCCAGCCTTGTGCTTCCCTACAGACAATGCCCCAACCGCTAAGGCTAGAATATACCAGATAAGGATATTGGGTGTCATTCATTCCTCTTTGGTGCACCCCCACAGATGAACTCTTTTCTTCTTTAGGATCCTCAGCTTGAGGATGTAATTGTTCAGTCCACGTGCATTAGGAAGGTTTACGATAAAATGATTTCCCCTTCCCTTTATTCCTCTGGCTATTTTAAGGGCTACATAGAAGGCGGCAGGGAGGGCATATTCCTATATCAGGATTCCCAAGCCCTGACATTCCAAGCACAAAAGTGGCTGAAGTAGAACCAACCAGAGCGATAGACATTCCTTAACATATGCTAGACTGTTTCACTGCCTGCAGGAAAATACTTCAAGGACACACAAAGCTTTGATGCAATATGATTTATTCTCTTTTCCTCTGCCATTAACAACACAGTTGGTAAGTTGTTCTCCATCTTTGGGATCGCACAGTTGGGAGAAGAGGTCTCACAACCCTTTCAACGGTAGAATAGGAGCACAGCTGCCTCAGTTATCTCCCGGCTGGTGCTGTAACCAATGTGAGTTCCATATCCATCCCAGTCAAAGGAAGAGAAATCTCCACACTGGCGGGGATTGCCCTCTGGGAAGAAACCTCCTCCGCCGATGCAGTGCTGGGAAAGAGGGAGAGGAAGAGACAGAGATGAGAGATCTGCTGGTGAGGCCAATGACAGCCTAACGGCCAAGTCCAGGTCAGTCTTTGGTCCTCAAGAGACTCACCATTGGCAGCGTTGATCTTTTCCTCCCATGAAAACCTATATGCCTTTAGCTTTAGTGACCTCACTGTCTCCTTATTGTCCTCCAACTTTTCTGAACACTCATTCTAGGATTCCCTGGTGAAACTCTTCCTTCATGAATTCTTGTAGTGCTTCTCCTCTCCCTGTCCCTTACAGATTGCATGACCACATTGGCTTCCGTTACTAACAGTTCACCAAGACCCCCAAATCTCCATCTCCTGTGCAGATGTTCCTTGTGCTGAAGACCTAAGAATACAACCTGGATCTCTACACAGGAATCTCAAGCTCCATATGACCAAAACAGAGTTAAATATTCCTCGTGGACCCCAAACTGCTCGTCATCCAGACACCCTGACTTAGTAAATGACACTCATTCACCCAAATGAAAACCATGAGGCTGTTCTGGTCTTCTTCTCTTCCCATCCTCTGTATTCAACTGGTATTCAATTTAAACACTTTGGAAATCATCAATACCCATTGTTTATTCTCCCAAGCACATGGGGGAATGGACTGAGTGAGGTTCTAGAAGGTGATGTCCAGGACCTTCCTGGTAACCCCCAACAGACTGTGTAGTTATGCAAGCCCAGGCCAGGGTTGGGCAGTTTTTCTCTGAAAGCTAAAGCACAGATGAAGAAGGACAAGGAATCTCAGCTTCAAAAGGCTTCCACAGAATGTTCCCGCATGGAAGCCTCACCCCAGCTGCAGGAGACTGAGTGCTTTATCCCAAAGGCTGAGCATCCAGCAGTGGCTCTTGTGAAGCCTCAGCCCTTGATTTCAGTCCTCAAAGGTACAGAATGTCTGTACCCGGACAAAGGGTCCCGCAGCTCTGCCCCTGAAACCCAACAATGTCCAAGAAAAAGTCACACTCACACCAGACTCGTACCACACCCAACACACATATCAACACATAGTGACAAACTCAACCTTACAGCCCCTTTGGGTCCCACAAAAACTCACGTGCTCAGTGTTACATCCGGTGACCTTCATTCCAGGACACAAGGCATGGGCTGCTCTCTCATTATTAAAGACCCTGAACTGAACAAATCCTGCAGTGAATTCCTCTGAAAACAAGAGACAGGAAACAGCATTCAAGGAAGATGCTAGAAACAGCCTTCTTTACGCCAGCCCAGAGATTCTCTATGCTGAAGCTCAGGCTACAGCCCAACTCTCCAGCCACACTGCTGGAGCTCAGCTCCTCTGGGGCCAATGGATGATATCCTGGCCCCAAACTTCCCATCAGGGACATCTTCCCAGCCCAGAGACCAACAGCTTGCCCTCGGGGACGGCTTCTCGTCTGCCAGAGGCTTGTGAAGAGAAATTCAGCTATGCAGGAAGATCACACTAAACATCTCTAAGGGCAGGGTTGCAACAATTAAGAGGTAGATTCACTCTGCTCCTCATTACATTTTTATTACTCTCCTTTATTTTAAAATCTCAAATCCCAAATCTCAATATCAGCTTTGAATTTTATAGCATAGACTGAGCCTCAGTCAAAGATACTATGTTGTCAACTTTAGATTCACACAAAATAAATTAACGGTTACTCCTCACAATTAAAAAAAAGGCCTCCCCATTTTGTTCATTGTTCTGCCCTCTGCACATGAACCTGGGCCTGGTCCTAACAAGTTCCTGAGGGGCTGACAGTGGGGTTGTCAGGAGTAAAGAGTCTGGAGCCAAATTTCCTCAGTGCAAATGCGAGCTCCCCTGTGTACGTGCCCTGTGATCTCAGCAAGTTCCCCAATCTCTCAGTGCGTCTGTTTCCTACAATGAGGTTAATGACAGCTCAGCCCGGGTGAGGCCGTCAAGCAGACTGAGGGGAACAACACGGGTCACATGCATAGAAGAGATCTGAGCCGTGGTAACTGATTAATAACTGCTACATGTCTTAACTGAATGAATTCAATCAAAACTGAAACCCTTCCTACCAAGAGTTCAGAGGAGCATTAAAGACTCACTCTGGCCATTAGGTGAGTAATAAGATGCCGTTTTCTTGGCATCTCCAAAATCATAGACCACAGGGATCGCAGGGCCGTTGTCCATTCCACAGCTTCCTTCTCCGTATTTCACAGGGTATTGCTGTAAAGAACAAAAAGTCATTGACACTCAGCCTGGGCAACAGAGTGAGACTCCTTCTAAAAAAAAAAAAAAAAAGAAAGAAAGAAAGAGAAAATAAAAAATTCAGAAAAAATGTCATTGAGCAAGGACAATAGCTTTGTCCTTACAAACCATTACCTCCCAGGGATGCTGCCGCTCACAGAAAACGGTGCCTTGTAGCAACTGAGATTATCTCAAAACCAGTCAAAAGAATCTTTCCCTTTTGCTGCTGCTTGTCACACGAAAGCTGTGCTTTCCAACAGGCCAGACCATGTCATTCTCATTCTTACTGTCTCTCCCTCTCTCTCTCTCTCTCTTTTCTCCCTTCCTCCTTCCCCAATTATCCTATCCTGTAGGTCTTTTCTCACAATTCCTGAGAGAAGCTGGACAGAAGCCACAAGAAATCAAGGTTAGGAGACCATGGCAGACTGGACCACTAAAGACAGTTCCTTCCCAATCTCAGACACTTGCTTCTCCACACACCCATAAAACCAGCCCCAGCCAGCTGCCCTGTGTACCTGGTAGAGGCCAAACAGATTATGTCCAAGTCCCTGGAGGAAGCCAGTTTCAGTGTGGTACCTCAGCAGGGAGCTGTTACTCCAGTGCTTCAAGGGGGACTTGTTGGGCACATGCCAGATGCTCAAGTCCTGGGCCTGGATGTCGTAGTAGCCAGGGTTCTGCACAGCAACACACACTCAGCCTCACGGGGCCAGGGGGGCCCACGAGGCAAAGGCCCACACGTGCAGCCCTCAGCTGAGCTCACAGCTCTGGGCTCTAGGGGTGGGGCAGGTGGTTGCCTGTGCTCAGACACCCCCACTTCCAGCAGGTGAGGACTCCCCACCACCCACGTCCCTAACCGCCTTGTGGGGAGGAAGTTGGGATTCAAGATCTATAAGTATTTCCTTCCTCTTCTCCAGCCCTGTGTCCATGTCCCCCTTCCCACCCTCCCTCCTGCGTGCTGTGGCCACACACACTCACTCCTCACCCTTTCCCAGTGCGTAGGAAGTGGCACTAACCTTGTAGTCATCACTCGTGGCCGCCTCTGCAGACCCAAAGGTGTTGTAGTTGGCCCAGTTGTTGTCCCCCTCTGGGTAGTCTGCTCTGCTGCCCTGCTGACTGGACCAGCGATCGCCAACCGTGCACTTCCCATACATGTTGTTCTCGTGCACGCTGGCCACCAGGGTCCAGCCGCCACCCCCAGTGGTCATGTCACAGAAGGTCTGGTAGACGAGACCATCCTCGGTGCGGAGGAAATATAGGCCATCTGCAGACAGAACCAGCCAGAGCCTGTCTGAGAGCTCACGGCCATCTCAGCCCCACGACCACAGAGGCCCGAGGAACCAGACACACGGCCTAAAGCCTCCTCCCTGGGTCCTGCCACTAAGTGTTCCCGGGGGGCCTGCAATCTCCCTGGGTTCAGAAGATCATGCTCCTGAGACTGCGGCAGAACACAGAGTCAACAAATCCGAGTGGCCAGTGTCATTCCTCTCAGGTTAAACATGGAATTATCCTATGACCCAGCAACTCCACTGCTAGGTTTATATGCAAAAGAATTGGGGAAAGGGACTCAAGCAGATGCTAGTGCAGCAGTGTTCATTGCAGCATGAGTGACAAGAGCCAAAGGGAGAAACGACCTGAATATTCATCAGTAAATGAGCAAACAAAATTCAGGCTGTGTGTGTGTACATATGTACACACAATGGATAAAAAGAAATTATATATCCATGCTATAACACAGATGAACCTTGAAAACATTTTGCTGAGTGAAATAAGCCAGACAAAAAGAGACAAATATCAAATGACTCTACTTATATGAGGTAACTGGAAAAGGCAAATCCATAGAGACAGAACGCAGAATAGCAGCTACCAGGGGCTGGGGGAGAGGACAATGTGGAGTTGTTGCTGAGTGGGTACGGAGGTGATGAACAATTCCAGAGATGGATGGTGGCGATGGTTGCACAAGGTTGTGCAGTTAATTACTGTGGATAAATTTTAGGTTTAAAATTAAAGTGGCAAATTTCACTCAATATGCAATATATATACATTTTACTACAATTTTTTCTTAACCTTAAAAAAAAAAAAACGTCCTAGAGTACAAAACCCTGATTGCCCTGAGAGGGTTCTATTTAAATGTCTTGTCACTCACCACCTGCGCAGGGGTTCTTGGCTTTGATTTCCTTGCAGCTTCTGAGCAGAGATTGAGACGCAAAAGAACAGGACGAATGCTCAGAGGAAGTATTGGCCTCTAGAGAAAATGCAGAGTTTTATTCTCACTGCTGATTTGTCACAAAACCCATCTTCTCCTTGTGACTAGTCCCAAACAATTCCACACCCACAGGAGCAGAGCCTCGCTGCTGGGATGGTAAGGGCCAGAGATACCCAGTCTCTATTGATTCAGCTCATTTGACCCAACACCCAGCACAGGTTTCATGCATGTCTCTCTCCACATCACTCACCCTGTGCCCAGCCCTGCCCTAAGCACTGGGCAGTCAAAGAAAGTCAACATCCCCCCAAGAGCTTGCCCCTAGAGGGAATTGCTGACAAGTCAACAAAAAAGTATATTGAAAAGAATAAATGATAAAAGACAGACAAGGCCAGGTGCAGTGGCTCTCGACTATAATCCTACCGCTCTGGGAGGCTGAAGTTCGAGGATCACTTGAGGCTAGGAATTCAACACCAACCTGAGCAAGAGTAAGACTCTCTCTATATAAAAAATAAAGAAATTAGCCAGGTATGGCAGTGCACACCTGTAATCCCAGCTACTTAAAATGCTGAGGCAGGAAGATCACTTGAGCTTGGCAGTATGAGGTTGCAGTGAGCTCGGATGATGCCACTGCACTCTAGCTTGGGTGACAGAGCAAGATCGTGTCTCAAAAAACAACAAAACAAAAAAAGTTAAACAAGCTCAGGAGAGGAAAAGAAAGACTCTGGGGGTAGAATGGAGAATGGAGAGGCCAGACTGGAGAAAGGGCAGTTGTTTGGGAGTAGGAGGGGGCAAGACAGGATTTGTCTCATGTCTTAATGACAGATGTCCTCCTTAGCTTATGCTGAGAGAATAAACATGATTCATCAGTAGGAAGAAAAAGACACTTCAAGGCAGAGAGAATAGCATGTCCAAAAACCTGGAGAAAAAAAAAGCATAATTTAGCTTATTGAAAAAATATAAGTAGCTTAATGTGGCTGAAACACAGGGTGTGAGGTAGGGAGCGGTGGTGAGACTATGGTCAAGAAACTGGCAGAGACACACAGTGAAGAATCTTATATGCTAATATTGAGGCTAAAGAATCCACAAACTATTCTAAACATCTAGTGGAATGACAATAATTGCAAGCTTTGAGGTCAGAAGTACCCAGTTATAAGTAGCTCAGTGCCTACTACTTGAGTGCCCTTGGAATTATACTTAACATATCTGAGCTCCAGTTTCCACATGCCTAAAACAAAGCTAATAAGGTGTTTCTGGGAAGATTAAATGAAAAGATATTTAGAAACAGCCTTTACTTTTATCAAAAGGAGTAAATAACACTGAAGACAAATACAAATTTTAAAATGCCATTGTTACTTCTGGTAAAGAAAGGAAGACTGTGAAAAGAATATTCTCTGGGCAAAAAGCAGAAAATGCAATTCCCACGGCAATTGCATGGCCAAGGCCACAGATGTGGGGAGTGGCTGGGAGCAGCCCCATTCTCACCAGAGCCCCTTCAGGGCCACACAGAAGCACAGAGCTGGACCCAGGACATACCTCGGGCAGCGCTCTCACTATTACAGGCCCGATTCCTCCCACAAGAGGCCAGAAATCAGCACTTTGCCTACATCCAAGTCAATGGCCCTTCATCTCAGAGACACCCCCTGTGGCCTAGGAGAGATCAGCATCCTGGGAACCACCCAGCTGGTGACTCACCTTCACTCCGCCCTCTGGTGGCCACAATGAGGAACAGCAGGAAGCCAAGTTGGGTCATTGTGACCTAAAGAAAACAAGATGAAGGTCACTCTTGTCAGGGTCCATTTTTTCACAGGTGTTGTCCTGGTTCTTTGGCTCCTTGCTTGGACAAATCACAAGCAGGTCTGGTGCCACAGAGCCATGACAGACACTTAGCACTTCCACACAAGCAGCTTCTATTGCAGGCTTTTCAGCATAGAGCTAGCAAGCAAAAGTACGTTTCCTGAGGGGAAACAGGTCTGTCTCCCCACGTGGAGAAGAAAATGGGGTTTTTCCACCCCTCTGCTTTTATGTCTATGCCTTCTGATATGCTAAATGGTGGGTGGAATATTCATTATTTTCTTGTGAAAAGGGTGGAGAGTTCTCAGAGGTAAGGGTCTTCCCCAGTGTTATCCTTATAGGGTAACTTCCAGGAGTTGCTATGACTTTTGTAAACTGCCATGGTGCTAGTGGGTGTGATTTTTACTATGCTAACGTATATTAATGAGAAAAGGGTCACTTTGGGACATGGGCTTCTACTTTCTGCACATGATCCTGGTGGGGAAAGTCCACAAATGCAAGTTTCTGCAATTGTGGCTTAGGTTCTACATGCCCATTGGCCCTTCTTGTCTCTCTTCTGATGTTCTGCTCTAAAGATCTGTAAGTGGAGGCATGGAATTCAAAAGCGTCGCTAGGCAGGGTTTCAGTATCCCTGGCAGGCACAGGCTGGGACACACGGATCATCAGGACATTTTAATGGAACTGTTGTAACCTAGAAGAGACAAACGTGACCAAGAGGCTAAATAGGCATGGCCTGAAAGTGAGCAATAAACGTAAGACCTACAGGCATCACAAGAGAGGTGGCAACCAAGAAAACCAGTAGTATTAGAGGTATGAACTGTTCCTCTCATGCTGGCCTTTTAGCTTCTTGATCAGCCTTGTTGTTTCCTTGAGCTACATTTCTTGTCCCTTTTGGGGTCTCTGCAAGGCATAGCAGAGATCTCTATTGACAGATAAACTGCCTGTAAAATTTTTGTATTTGTTCCCCATGTGTAATGGGAGAGTTTCTCTCTGAGAATAGCCCTCTCTTTTTTCAGATTTGGCCATTACCCTGCAAGATTGGTAGCCCACAGGACCCTCTCCTGAGCCCTAGTGCTACTGCAAAAAGGACAAGGGTCCCACCCAGGGTCTACACCGCATCTGCACTACCCGACACATCTCCTCTGACCAGATCTGAGGAAGAAGGTAGACATAGAACTGATGCAATAAAGCAACCTCCAGCAGACACAAGCCTCTGTCATCTTACCTTGAAAGTGCAACCCTGGGTTTCAGCCCCAAAATGTCAGGGTTGAGTTTTTGAGGAGTGTTGTCCCCGTTCTTTGGCTCCTTGTGTGGACAAACCACAAGCAGGGCTGGCTGGTGCCACAGAGCGATGACAGACACTTAGCACTTCCACACAGCAGCTTCTATTGTGGGCTTTTCAGCATAGAAGTAGAAGCAAAAGTACGTTTCTTGAGGCAAAACAGGTCTGTCTCCATGAGTGGAGAAGACACTGGGGCTTTCCCACACTTCTGCTTTTATGTCTATGCCTTCTGATATGCTAAATGGTGAATATTCATTATTTTCCTGTGAGAGGAGGGGCATTCTTAGACCTAAGGGCCCTCCCCAATGTTCTCCTTGTAGGGTAACTTCCAGGAGTTGCCATGACATTTGTAAACTGCCATGGTGCTGGTGGGTGTGATTTTTACTATGTTAATGGTGAAAAGGTCACATTGGGACATGAGATCCTACTTTCTGCGCATGTTCCTGGATGGGGAAAGTCCCTAATGACTTCCTGCAGATGTGGCTTAGGTTCTACATGCCCATTGGCCTCCTCATGTATGCCCCCCTCGTCTTTTCCTGTGATAATGCTGCCCACCTGCACCTGTCCCTAACAACGCTCTTGACCATCTTTTTCTCTACATCCCTGCTCCCACCACTCTCCGATCCTACAAAGACTCCAAAGCCCCTTGCCTTTGCTTTCAATTCCACACATCTCTGGGACCAAAAGCGACCTGAGCTCAAACCAGGATTCCCCCACTCACAGACATGTGCGAGAATCTCAGCTGAGTTCCCTTCAGCACAGGGAGCTGCCTCCTCCCTCACAGCAGCCAGGAGCTCAGAGTCAGCTGCCCGCTGGGTGGAGCTTTCTCTGCAGAGGCCCCTGATGTGGGTGATGCGCTGGAACCTTTATGGAGAAAGCCCAGCGGGGCCTGGCCCAGGCCTCCAGCCCACCCTCCCCTGGCACGATGCCCGGTGCAGGTGAGGACTCAGGCCAGGTTCTTTACACAGTGATAACTCATGGAATTAGCAGGTTCTAAAGGACAAATCTTAAAGGTCACCTGCTAGCCTAGGAGCACTGACCCAGATTCAGGAATTCACGCACCTGTGTGTTTTCCAAAAAGAAAATAGATGAAGAGACTAACTAGAGTTGATTTGGAGTTTTTGTTTGTGTCTTCCTATTGTGCAAAATCAAAACTTTTTAAAAAATTGAATATCTATAATAATCATCATTTCATACAGAAAGGACATTTTAACAACAAATTAGGAAAATGATCATTTCAAAATAAATATAAACCTTTAGATTGAATATATACAGTTTTACAGAAAGACTACTTTGTCCTCAATTTTTCCCATTTTCCACATACTAGTGAAAATTTGCTACAGAGTACATTTGAGACTAAATCAAATGATGTAGTCCAGTGATGTTTCAAACTTCCTATATCATTCCCATCCTGATGTCATCCTTCACTTTTTAAACCCTCCCTTCAATAATAGAATTGATCAGGTCCTCCTCAGTGATGGCATATATTACTATATATTATCATTATAGCACTAATAATATTGCAGTTCTTAGGAAAATACTGTGAATCTCTTTTTTTGTGAAGCTAATATTTTCTACCTTTGTAGGATCATAGTACTGGTTTACAAAAAATACTCAGATGTATTCATAGACCAAAATAAAATAGCACCCAAAAAGAAAAGTTCCAGAGAAAACATATACTTAGTTTACCATCATCATGCATCTCCTCCTTAGTGGTACATAAATCATGGAGCAACCTACAATTGACAGTATCTAACAACCAAAATTGTAGATCTGTTAATATATCATGGACATTCCTCCTTCTAACCACCATCATCCCACAATCAGTGATTGTGTCCCAGTGATTCTACCTCCCACTTCCCCCTTAACCTGTTCCCAAACCATCTTTTCCAAATCCCACTGCCATTGACATTTATTTAGTGCCGGTCTAGATCAGTTTGGATGCTTTCAGCTGCAATAAGAGAAAAGCCATCTCAAAGTGACTGAAACAAAAAGCAAAAAACTCATGAAATCCAAAATCTAGAGAGAGAGCAGGCTCAGGGCTTAGGAGACTCAGCAGCTTCTTGATGTCCCAAGGACCAAGGCTCTTTCAGCCTCTCTACCTTGGCTTCATCCTTTGTCGGAGGACGAGATGGCTATTGGTGTTCCAGGCGCCACCTACGAGACAAGGGAGAAGAGGGATCATCTCTTCCTGTGGCTCCTTTTTCAGAGAGAGCAAGCTTTGCTCACAGACCTCCAGCACACTTTTCCTCATGTCTCATTGGCCAGAGATGGTCACGTGCTGTGCCAGTTTGCCAGGGCTGCCATAACAATACCATACACGGAGCAGCTTAGGCAACATAAATTTGCTTTCTCACAGGAGGCTAGAAGTCCAAGATCTACATGTAGGCAGGGCTGGTGTCTTCTCAGGTCTCTCTCCTGGGCTTATAGATGGCCACTTCCTCTCTGTGTCCCCACGTGGTCTTTTCTATGTGCTCATTAGAGGTGGATTGTTCACACGTCTAAAAGTAATGACAGGCCCATTGCTATTGGTCAGTGCAACTGTATGAACGCCTGGCACTTGCCCCCTCTCCGCCTTTCTCTTGCCCCCTCTGGGCCTTATGTGTGTTTCACATCAGCTTCCTTGATCACGAATCTTCTGTGAGAGGAATTAAAAGGATAACTGTAGAACCAGCAAGGAATGTAATACGCTTGGCAGTGAAGAGATCTAGAGGAAAGAGAGAAATGTTAGAAGATATCAGTTGCAGCCAACTGGTATTTCCACTATTCTGCAGCCTAACTTCAGGTTGGGGAACGTGCCAGAGTTTGAGGCTAGGTTATGGCTAGTTACAAGCTGGAAACTGTTAAGAGGTGGGGGAGTGTTCATAAATCCAGAAAATGCAATACTCCATTATAAACAATTGTCTACCCTTTGCAAGATCATAAAGCAAAGGGATAGACATTGCTTTTAATGGAGTATTACATTTTCTGGATTTAGATTCATCATCAATGGCATGATGTCAAATTAATTCATGTCAAATTAATTCAAAGTGTACCAGAGGCATAAAACAAAAACCAACTTCACAGACCATGGGTGCACTGAGACGCAACAGTGTGGAAGAAACCCCTCCCCACACCTCGCTCCAGCCCAGCACCTGCATCTCCAAGTCACTCGGATTTGTTTTATTGTTTGAAACAAAGAAAGCCTTATTGTAAAAATCAGCACATATACTGAAAAGGAATTAAGACTTAAATATACAGTTCAATGAATTACAGAAAGGGAAATACCTGTGTAATTATCATCCTGGTCAAGAAATAAAACTTTCTCAGCACCCCAGAAGCTTCCCATATGTTCCATCCACATCACAAACTTCTCCCTTTCCCCTAAAGTAATCACGAGCCTTAATGTAATCATCACTTCCTTGTACCCGTGCCACATTGTTTTAAATATTACAGATTTATAAAACATCTTGATATCCAGTAGAGCAAGGCCTGCTACTTTGTTCTTCTTCAAGATTATCTCAGTAATTCTTCATCTTTTCCCTCCACATAAAATTTATAAATCTATTTAAATCATACACACACACACACACACACACACACACACCATGGAATTATATTTAATGCATAGATCATTTTGGAAAGAACTGATGCCTTTAAAATATTACATGTAGCATATTTCCCCATTTATTTGGATATTCATTGTTTTCTCATAATTGTATCTTATAGCTTTTCCATAGGGATTATGTGCATCATTTATTGTATTTAATCCTAAGTATTTGACATTTTTATGCTATCATAAATGGTATCTTTTTAAATTTCATTTTCTAATGCTTTGATGCTTCTATATAGAAAGACAACTGATTTTTGCCTGTAACCCCACTTCAGGAGGCCAAGGCAGGAAGAACACTAGAGGCCATGAGTTCAAGACCAGCCTGAACAACATAGTGAGGCCAGATCTCTACAAAAATTAAGAAAAAAGTTAGCCAGGTGTGTGACACACAGCTGTAGTCCTGACTAGTTGGAAGGCTGAAGCAGAAGGATTGCGTGAGCTATGATGGTTCCACTGTACTCCAGAGCCTGAGTGACAAAACAAAACCCTGTCTCTAAGAAGAAGGAAGGAAGGAAGGAAGAGGGAAGGAAGGAAGAAGGAAGAAAGAAGAGGGAGGAGGAGGGAGGAGGGAGGGAGGGAGGGAGGGAAGGAAGAGGGAGAAGAGGAGGGAAGGAAGGAATGAGAAGGGGAAGAAAAAGGGAAGGAAGGAAGGAAAGAGGAAAGGAAGGAAGGAGAGAGGGAGGGAGAGAAAGAAAAGGAAGAAAGTAAGGAGTGAAGGAGGAAAGATAGCAAGAAAAAAAGAAGGGAGGAAAGGAGGAATGAAGGAAGGAAGGAGAGGAAAGAAAGAAAAAAGAGAAGAGAGAGAGAAGAGGAGAGAGAGAGAGAGAGAAAGAAAGAGAAAAAGAAAAGAAAGAAAGAAGAAGAAAGAAGAAGAAAGAAGAAGAAAGAGAGAGAGAAATAAAGCGGGGAGGGAGGAAGAAGAGAGAAAGAGAGAAGAAAAGAGAAGAAAAAGAAAGAAGAAAGAAAGAAAGAAAGAAAGAAAGAAAGAAAGAAAGAAAAACTGATTTTCACGTCAACTTTGCAACCAGTGAACATTCTCTTTTTTACTCATTCTAATATTGATCTGTAGGTTATTTTGGATTTTCTACATAGCAACTGTATAATCTGAAAAATTATTATTTCCTCCTTACCAATTTGTATTCCTTTCAGTTTGTTTCTTGCCTTACTACACTGCTGCTACCTTCAGTGTAATGTGGACTATCAGAGAAGAAACTGGGTATCATCCTTTCCCTTTGCAAAGGGAACAATTTCATTGTGGCACAATTAAGTGTGATGTTGCCGTACCTCTTCATGAATAACCTGTATGAGATTAAGAAATTCCCTTGTTATACTAGTTTTCATCATGATTGAATGTTCAAAATATTCGTGAAAGATGTTTTATCATGAATGTATGTCAAATTGTATCTGTCATCTTTTTTACATGATAGATGTATTCTTTTTATCCTACTGTTATTAAAGAAAGTTATATTAATTGATTTTCTAATGTTTTTGATTTTCTGTTTTTGACTTGTTTTCGTTTTCAGACACTCTCACTCTGTGCATGGGCTATAGTGCAGTGGTGTCATCATAGCTCACTGCAGCCTCCAACTCCTGGGCTCCAGGGATCCTCCTGCTTCAGCCTGACAAGTAG